GCATGTATTGGGTATTTGATGGTAAACATGTTCCTGGTAAGTCCATGTATCACTTCTACAAAGAGTATTGGCAACCATTTGGTGAGCTTCTTGTTAAAATGGAATGCGAGGGTATGTTGGTTGATCGGACGTATCTTGCTCAGATAGAGAAGGTTGCTAAAGCGGAGCAAGAGATTGCTGCTAATAGGTTTCGCACATGGGCATCTAGATATTGTGATGATGCCAAGTATATGAATGTTGGAAGTGATACTCAGCTCCGCCAGCTTCTTTATGGCGGTATTCTTAACAGGTACTAATAGTATATTTTGTGTTCAATAACATCAATATTTATCAACACATTGCATTGAAATTTAGGCATTATATTCAATAAGGGAACAAGATGCATTTTATCGTCTTCTAAATCAGAAACACTGTTAATATCCTAATAATATGTCTGGATTCAAATTTCTTGCCTTTAAGTCGGTGATTGTGTGGGTGCAGTGCAAGATATGTTACTTGGAGTTGGGTGTTAGTGTTGGACATGGGTACAATAAAAAATGAAGAGTCTGACCGACATGGGTGCAAGAAATTCAGAAACTTAATGTTGATTATGAACATTCATTTCCTATAATTTATGGAATTATTCATACCATCAACTAAGCAACAATGATTTTTCATTATCCAAAAGATGTGCTTGTCAAGGATCCAAATTCAAGTCTTTCTGATTCAGAAATTTTCAGGGTGCAATCAGAGAGGGAGTCTTGAAAATTTGAAAGTTCCCAGCCATTAACTTGATTATTTCTTATTACAGTAAGGATCCAAATGTGAGTCTTCCCGATGAGAAGATTTTCAAAGTTCCAAATGTTGATAAAGTGATTGAAGAAGGAAAAAAGGCTCCTACAAAGTTTCGCAATATTAAGCTGCATAGCATTGGTGTTAAGCTCCCTGTTGAGATTTACACTGCCACTGGTTGGCCCTCGGTTAGTGGTGTCGCCTTGAAGAGCTTAGCTGGCAAGGTTTCTGCTGAATATGATTTTTCTGAGGCCACCAATGATGGTGATATTGATGATCTTCCTGAAACAATGACTGATGTTGATACATCTGAATATGGAACTGCTTTTGCTGCATTTGAGGATGAGGAAAAGGGGAGGGAGGCATGCCATGCTATTGCTTCATTATGTGAAGTTTGCTCTATTGACTCATTAATCCAATTTCATTCTCCCCTTGCAGGTTATTTGATGCCTCATTTGATTGTTCATGCATGTTGATCAGCGTTTACAGTTTTTTTATTATGCCCTTTTTTCCTCTCTAGTATCTTTTTATTTGTTTATATTTGAGGATTTATGCTATTTACTTATTGTCGAAATTTCTACTCAATACGAGAGATGTGCATGTCCTCAATGTGGTGATATTATGATTACATTATGTCTTCTCCTGTCAATGATAATTCATCATTATCAGAGGAAGTTAACAAAATGCTGGTCTGATATTTGATCATGTTATTAGTTGGTGCTGCTAGGTATTAACCAATTGGTAAAATTATGTATACCACTAGGGATCAAAAGTATATGCAAATGGCAGTTAAATTATATGCTAAGTGGTCATGTACCTGGATTATATTATTGTGAATATTTTTTGGCTTAGATGAAAACTATGAAAGCAACCTTTCTCTGTCTGAATAGTCATGAAAATTAAGAAGGCATTGTTTTAAATTCCTCCTTAATTTCAGCTATTATTTCCTTTTTCTTAATTAATTTTGTACCTCAAATTCCTGGATGGTTAATAATGAGAACGCTCTCCTTCTACTGCAGGGGAGTAATGTGTCAGGCAAGTGCGGACGTGTTCACTGTTCACTGAATATCAATACAGAAACTGGGCGCTTATCTGCAGGAGACCGAATTTGCAGGTTCAATCTTCCTTTATTTTGTTCTCTGCCACTGTTTTAGCTAGCATTTGAAATTTTGAATTATTAGAACCTTAAGGTTCTATATGTGTCTATAGCCACTATACCTCTTGAATAGCGTTAGACCAAAATTTTATTTGTGATGAAGCACAGTGGACTATGTTTTTCGTTAGGTTATATATAGCCTAAATATTCATATCAATGGATAGCTTTCTACTATGTAATCATGGTCATTCCTTCCACAAATTTCGTTATAGTAAGGCGTGAAGAAAACGAAAAGATAATTCTTATTACTCCTCTACAAGTCCTTTTCTTGTCAGCTGGATTGAGATTGGTAACCTATAATAATGTCTTTCTTGTATTTTCTTTTTCGAATCAGAATCAACCTGCACTAGAGAAGGATCGATATAAGATACGTCAGGCCTTTGTAGCTGCCCCAGGAAATTCCCTTGTTGTGGCAGATTATGGGCAGGTAAGTTCATTGTGCTAGCTTCTTTTTCCATATAATTCCATGTATTGATTAGAACATAAATTCATATTACAGCTGGAACTTAGGATTCTTGCACATCTGGCTGGCTGTAAAAGCATGTTGGATGCCTTCGAAGCTGGTGGAGACTTCCATTCAAGGACTGCAATGAACATGTATTCTCATATCCTTGAAGCCGTCGAAAAGGGGCAAGTTCTTCTTGAGTGGCATCCTCAACCTGGTGAAGACAAACCACCAGTTCCACTTTTAAAGGTAAAGTGGAAAAAAATCCCCCTTTGCCTAGTTTTTCATGTACAGAATGTTAGGTCTGGCAACAAGGATTGGGATAGAAATTATCCAAAAACATCTTAATATATTGAACTTGTAACCTTTATCCTGTATTTGTCAAAAATATAGAAGTAACCTTTTCCTGTATACTTGTATTATATGTCTTGCCATATACCAATGACTGGTTCAAGTATGACCTAAATTGCTTTTTCAATTCGAAGGTTATTATTTGATGTTTTATGTTCAAATCGTTGTAGCATGCTCATTGGTTTGCTCAACATAGTTTATTTATAAATGTAGACAGGACATTGATGCATAAAGGTTTGCTTATCATGAGACCTTGCTACCGGATAATTAGGCTTGGTTTTTTATTGTTGAATACAAGTGGGTTGTTTTTTTTTTTTTCTTTTCAGGATGCCTTTGGTTCTGAAAGAAGAAAAGCTAAAATGCTCAACTTTTCCATTGCATATGGAAAAACTCCTGTGGGACTTGCCAAGGATTGGAAGGTATCCTTGGAACCTAAAATAATGGCTGAAACTTAAAATTCATTAAGCCTACACGCTAATGATTGTTGCACCTCTCTCAGGTTTCTGTTGAAGAAGCAAAGAACACAGTTGATCTATGGTACAAAGAAAGACAAGAAGTGCTTGAATGGCAGAAAAAGCGTAAATTTGAAGCTCAGAAATTTGGATGTGTTAAGACATTGCTTGGAAGGGCTCGCCGCTTCCCATCATTTGCTCAGTGTACACGTTCACAAAGGGGTCATATTGAACGGGCTGCTATCAACACTCCAGTGCAGGTTCTTTTCTTCCTGCGCTCAACAACTCTCTGTTTCCTCTCTCATCTAGTTGATTGCTATAGGGGAGTGCTGCTGATGTTGCAATGTGTGCCATGTTACAAATCAATGAATAAACGTCTAAAGGAGCTTGGTTGGAGGCTTCTTTTACAGGTTATTCCTTTTATATTTTCATGAATTAATTGCACAAGAGGTCCTCAAACTATGGCCCTCATAACCTCATTTTAAATTGGTTCCTAAACTTTGAAACTTTCTGTGTCCTCAAACTATGATCCCATTTTACATTGACCCCTAAACTTTAAAACATTCAATATCAATCCTCAAACTATCAGCATTATTCCAATTTGACCATTTGGTTTATGGTTAACATGTCGTTAACTCCACATGCTAAAAAATTAATGTGTTTTTGAAGGTTTAGGAATTGAACCCTAAACCCTAAAAAATAATATGTTTTTGAAGATCCTAGTATTTTTTTTAGAGTTCGATTCCTAGGACCTTCAAAAACAGATTAAGTTTTTTAACTAGTAGAACAACAAGTGTATCAAAATGGAATGATATTGATTGTTTGAGGTCAGATGCAAAATATTTTAAAGCTTAGGGACCAATTTAGAATGAGGTCATAGTTTAGGGACCAATTATCTCTACTTTCATCTATGTAAATTTTATTCTTTTAAGTAACAAATATAGGATCTGCCATGGTTCTTTCTGGAACTCGGTTATTTCCGTGATGTTTTCACTATCCTTTGCATTCCATTACCAATGCATTGGTTATGTATATTCACAAATTTGCACATTTTGGCTTCATCTGATTAAGCATTTCACAAGTTCCATTCGTCTTGTACGTCTTCATCATCTCATTTCTAAGGTTGCTAGTTGATATAGCTCTTTATAAAGTCATTGTTCCTCAAGTTTTCCGGAAATAACATAACTAAACAGGTTCATGATGAAGTAATCTTGGAAGGACCAAGTGAGTCTGCCGAGATTGCAAAAGCGATTGTCGTTGAGTGCATGTCAAAACCCTTTGGCGGAAAGAACATTCTTAAAGTTGAACTTGCTGTTGACGCCAAGTGTGCCCAAAACTGGTATGCTGCCAAATAGACAACAGTCTGGGCTCCGAACATGTGAATTTTGGTCTCAAACACTTTCTTCCAAGATACTTTTTCCCCTTTGAAGAGGAATATCAGAGCTAGCATGGCCCTTGGCTGCTGCAGTATTTTAATGTCTAAGGCTGTTCCTTGTGCGGCATTTCATCTTCTGTTCAGTGATGTAGCTATCGGGGTTCTTTGTGGATCCGGGGAATGCTCTGGGGCTTTAGTTGCATTTTAAGGACACGGGGAATGCTGCTGTACAGAGATTATTGTTGCATTAGTTAGTTCCTTGTAAAATTCTGATAACACTGATTTTTTTTTGGGGTGAGAAATGAAGGTAAGCTTGATTTTGTTCCCTTTTATTTGGTTATCACTACTGTATAGTTTTATGCTTGCTAAATGTTTATTGGGGGGGGGGGGAACTGGTTGCTTTAGCCTGCCAGACACCTTGGATATTACCGTTAACAGTTATTTGCATTTTGGAAACCATTTTTTCCCTTTACGTTTGCCATTTCGTGTAAAATAAATGCCCTGAAACAGTATCCTAATCAAGAAGTTCACAAGCACAACACAGGATGCCAAAACCGGCAGAAATTACTTATCAGACACTTGCAGATCAATTCCCCAGGCTGATGCTAACTGTAATAGAAGTTGATGAGGGGCCACGCCTTCCCAGTCCTCAGGTGGATCCATTGAGGAAGCTGCCTCGTGTAAATTCAGCAGAAGCTCCTTCTTCAACTCCATGGGAATACCCAATGCATCAGGTCCATTTTCTAAAACCACTTCGATCAGCTGAAAAGGTTGTAGGAAAATATGACCAATTAAAAACTTGAGAAATAAAGCAGCTTGAGCAAAAATGATCAAAGATTTTAAGAAACCATACCTGTTGAATCCAGGATAGGCAGATATCAAACAAGTCCTGATCAAGAAGAAACTGCACAATCGCATGCAAGGCCTCATTTGCTATCTCGTTCGACAGTTGGTTGACTATAGGGCCTGATCTATCCATTAGTTTTATAAGCAAGAGATCATCCCCTGTAGACAGAGCTTCAGCATAAGCAGTATCCATATCACCTACTTGAAGTGCATGCATTGCGTTGCTCCAGGAAGTCCAGACTGAATCTTGTTCCATTCCAACATTAGTGTCTCCAACAGCTTCAGCAGCCAATTCAGGAACACGTCCTGTTCGAGATGCTACACTATCCTCACCAGCTACGCAGATTGCTTCCAAGGTAGCTTCATCTTTTGATGCTTGCCAGACACTTCTAGCAGAAGGCCCTTCATCAAGCCTCACAGGCCCGGGACTCTTATCCCAAGCTCTCCTGCCACCAACCTGATCATTCTCATGTTCTGATTTGGGTGATCTATCATCCAGGCTGCTGCTAGCAGAATCTCTTCTTGATGCAATTTGTCCGCTCCTGGTTGCACGAAATGCAGGGAAATTCCAATCATCAGATATTTCAGATCTCCAAGAAGGTCCCCTTCCCCTCCCGCCTGGACCATTTCCATCAGATCGTGAACACCTCTCTCCAGATGGGATTCGCCCACCGAACTTCGAATTATAGTCAGAGAAGCCATTGTACTTCCCTAAAGGTCTATTGGATGACGCTTCAGATTGTGGCATAAAATTATATCCTCTCCTGCTTGATGATATTGATAAATCCTTACTCATATCTTCGATAATTCTCTCAAGACCCATAACTCTGTTTTGCAACGTTACCATGCTATGATGAGAGCCACCCATAAAATCCTGCAACATGTTCATGAGATTCGCTTGCTGTCTCTCAAGCTGCAATAACTGCCTCTGAATAGCCAACCAATTCCACCTTTGAGAAACCCAAATGATTTTCAGATGTCTCCCTTTGATTTACATCTATCCTGCCATCAGCATCAAATGCCCTTGTTTTTACGTTTGCACGATTTATCTTTTCTTCAGGCCATTTATCCCGCAGATTAGCGGCTCCACCCTCCATGTTATGGTTTTTACTGCTGGAAGATGCAACAAAGTTATCTGTCTGTCTTTTTCCCATACTATTCGTCCTTCTTGCATCTGGATCATTTGGTTCTGATTCTTCATCATCCTTCGAGTTTGAAGAATTACGATATCTCCGAGGAACGACTACTTCAATTGGCAAATCACCGGAACCCCTTGATTCAAGTCTCTGGAAGAATTCAGGATTTAATTCTTTGTCCGTTAATGCAGGTGCTTTCTTCTTTAAAATTACAACTGCTTTTTCAGGAATGCTTCCACCTTTTGTCTTTGGAAACAGAATTAGATGTAGGGGAAAGACTATCAGATGAATCCTTGGCCAATGGATCTGTTTTTCTATCTCCGGCCTTTTTATTTTTCAAGCCATTCTTTTGTGATGATTCAGCCGAATAAGGATTGTCACCATCTTCAGCATTAATTGAATTAAATGTATCCAATAAAGTATTAAAAATCTGGAGGACACCGATAGAACACAAGCACATACCAAACATTCTTACCATGAGATGAGGCTTTCTGGTCATCTGCAGCTCCATCATCCCCTTTCCCTGCATTCTTCTTCCATAGCTGCAATGCTTCTGTCATGGCATCTCTCACAGGTTTCATCTGATTACCCAATTATTAACATTATTCGACACAATAAAATTTCCATAAGGCAGTGTCATGTAACATCATATATGTTCTATAAGAAGAAATGGTAATGATGGCGAAGCACAACACTCGAGTTATATTGATTAGTAATGAACCAGACAAAACCCTTGCCTTCTTAAATCATAACATACAAACTGAAAGTCCCTTTTTAAAACAATTTCAGAAAGCATGAATTCATGCAGTCCAAAACATGTATTACCCCCTAAAAAATTCGGCCACAAAATTAATATTTGGAAGTCTAATTATTCTATCCCCATAGAAAATTTAAATCCATGTTTACATGAAAAGGAAAGTAAATGGTACTGGACCGGTGATGACCACAAAGTATTGTAACTTAATAGCCACAGATTATGCATATGGCATTGAGAGTAAACATAGAAACATTATATGAAAGAGAAATGGCTCTAGAAAACTACCCTATCAAATCGACAATTCTCCAGTAATGTTATCGTTGAAGCTGCTCTATCCGCAACCAAGTTGCTTGAATGTAGTGCCAAGGCACATAAAACATCAGCAGCTGCCTTCCTAGTCACCCAGTCTGTGCTCCCAATGCATTCATGGATACTTTGCATTAAAGCTTCAAAACTCTGGGGGGCAACTGCTCCCACCTGCAACAAGGTCACCATAATTTTCACAGAACTTGAATTTGTTCTTGTTTTCTTACTAAATTCTTCAAAGATATTAAAATGGATCCCCGTCTAGCTAACTAATTCGCCTGATCAAAACATAACAAGATGTACATTACCAGCCAGATAACAAGTACAAAAGGTAAACCAATTAAGAAAAAAAAACAGCATAGACCATCAATATTCTATGAACAACGTACATAACTGAAATCAGGCCGAAAACAACTACATGCTCGAACCTGCCATAAACTCGCCACTACCGACAAAAGCGAAGCCTTAGCCATGAAATTCGGATTTTTCAACAGCTTGCAGATTCTAGGACATAACTTGTGAAAAGCAGCTAAAGGTGGATCAGTAGCACATTCCACCAACTTAGCCATACATGCAGCTGCACCAGATTGAACCCCTTTGTTCTGTTCCCACATTGCTTCAAACAATGGTTTCACAAACAATCCCACCACAGTTCCCCCATTCTCCCCTTTGAAATACTGCCCCGAGAGGGCCCCAATTGAATCTCGGCAAGCATCTTTCACACCGGAATCGGCATCTTTCAACCTTTTAACAATGTGGGCAATGGTTCTAGTCAAATGGGAAGCTGCCAATTCACCATGGCAGTTACATAGCATTGAAAGTAACCTTAATGATTCTTTTTTCACAGCTGGTTTTGGATCATTGGAAGAATCGAAAAGGCAATTGAGTAACATGGGAAGGGAATCAGGGGAAATGGATTGGATGATGTTCTCAAGATCTTCAACGGCAATTGGTAAGTGTCACGATCAGAGAGCTTGGACAGTGAGGTTAAAATCCTTTGTTTTAGCTCTACCATTGCAAGATGAGGAGAAAGCGAAGAGGGTTTTGGAGGGTTTGAAGAAGTCTGTAAAGTTGAAGGCTTTATTGACTTGGGTGCTTGGGAATTACTCATTTAAAAAAGATTGAGAAGAAAAAACAGTGGGATTTCGATGGAATGGGGTTTCAAAGATCAAACAAGGAGAAAACAGGATGATATTTTGAGGAAATGGGGTTCGAGAGATTGGAGCAAACGAGGGGGTAAATGGGATCTTGAGGAAATGGGAAGTTTTCTGTTGAGTGAATTTAGAGACTAAAATGGGGATCTTTTAGGAAATGGGATTTTGCATACATTGGAAGGAAATCTGATGAAGAAAGAGAATTGGAGACTTGAGAAAAGTGGGGTTTTGAGAGATGGAGTAATGCTTAAGGGCCGGTGAAAGCTGAGAGAGTTAAGAAAGAAAGGAGGGGGTTTTGATTTTCTTTTTCTTTTGAAATTATTTGTCTTTTGAGATTTAGTGAAGAAAGAGGATTAAGGGGGACAAATTGAGATTTAAATTTGGATAATTAGACCGTTTAATTTGTTTTTGGAGGGTACAAATTACAAGGGGGATTAGGGCTTATGGTGACGTGGATTGTGGAGATCATGACCTTTGACTTTGATTAGTTTGGTATTTTAACTGGAGTTTGGGTCCACTAAATTTAAAAGGGTCCTTATTAGTGGTGAGTATTCGATTGAGTCCAGTTAGAAATATTAAGTTAGTGAATTTTTTTTATAATTCGAATTTTATTTAATTTTTATTGAATCGAGTTAAATTTATGAAATTTGAGTCCAGTTAAATCGAGTAGTTTGAACTTATATTTAAATTTAATTGTAAATATTTACAATGGTATGAAACAAAACGAGTTTATATAATCATATATGACATGTATACGTATTTTGCATACTTTTTCACATGTCATATGCATATATCATACAGAATTAAGAGACTCGACACGAACATGAAAAGTAATACACTAATTACCATAAGTTTTGAGTTATTTGAGTCGAAATTGAAAACCAATCGACTTGAATTTAATTTTTTTCTGGTCATGTTTATATAATTATAAATCAAGTCGATTAAAGTTCAATTTTTTCGAATTGAATTGAAAAATTCAATTTTTTCAAATCAAATCAAAGTTTGCCTACTCTTAACCCTTACAACATGTATAAGCTAAGATTGTTATAACCAGAATTTTACAATTCTAACATACCTTTAGAATCATTTTCCCGGGTATCAAATCAAATTTAATTCTCACAAGTCACAGGCTAACGAGCCTTCATCTTTGTCTTGTAATGGTTGCACTCAAAGTAGACATTTATTCATTCATATGTAAATGGAAAACTATCATTGGTTATTGGAATATGGTTGGTCACTGGCAACTCGTGTTTTTTCTTGCTGCGGCATGATTGATGTACTGGTCTGACAAGATATCAATGAGACATAAAACTATTGCACACAAACTTAGATTTCAAATGCCAAGGAGATTAGACATGGTTCTTCATAAGACAGCATAGTTTTTCATTTACAAAAATCTTCAAAGATTTTAGGTAGCGTTTAGTTCGTTAGAATATTTTTGAGGGAATTGAAATCTATTATCCAATTGAAATCTGAAGAAATTGAAATCTGAAATCTGTTTGATTGACAGAAAATTGAATTGGAATATGAATCGAAAATATATTAGATGAATTTAATTTCAGTAATGTAAAATGACATAATTGTCCTTCTTTTTTCTTCTTCTTAATTTTAATTTGTTTTATAACTTACATGTAACAATATATTATAAAAATTTTAAAAATATTAAAATTTTATTTTATTGATTGATTATTCATTTCAATAAACTATAAAAATCATACTAATAAACATCATAAGTTAAAATCATATCAATTAGGGATGGTAATGAGTCGGGTTTTTGGTCCACCCGACCCGACCCGAGAACAAGGGAACCTCCACCCGAGATCCGACAAAAATAAAGTTTCACCCGACCCAACCCGAATATATGAATTAGAAACCCGACCCAACCCGAAATAATAAAAAATTATTTTTATTCAATAAAAACATTGACTTAATTGAAAAAAATTATATATAGAGGGGTATTATTGTAATTATTCCTAAATATATAAGGTAAAATTATATATATTTTTCATGTAAGGTCGGGTATTTTTCACCCTAAACCCGACCCAGACCTAAAAATCACACTTAAAAAACTCAACCCGACCCGAATATCACACTTAAAAAACTCAACCCGACCCGAATATCACACTTAAAAAAACCCGACCCGAACCCGGGATTTTTTTTAAAAAAAAATCCGACCTGATTCTGATTTTTTTTTATAAAAAACCCGACCCGACTCGAACCCGATTTTTTTTTAATAAAAATCCGACCCAATCCTGATTTTTTTTAAAAAAAATTCGACCTGAATACCAAAAGATTGATGAGGGTAATATAGTCAAATTTCACATTCCCCCTCCAAATGATTTCAATTTTATCATGTTATGGATGAAATTTACTTTCCCTCCAGGAATTAGATTCGAATTCCTCTTTGAAAATTTGAACCAAACATAAAAAAGTAAAAGTGGTGAAATTGGATTCCAATTCTCAGGAATTCCAACGAACGAAACGGCACCTTAATTTTTAAGTCTTGACATCTTGGTGGGTTTCGTTTCTTGTTTTCTTCTTCTTTTGAAAGTTTTAGTTTCACTTTTTTAGTTGTGTTTTCAATTCAACCTGTCATCTTCAAAGTTGCTGATAGCTCACACTTTAATGCATTTGGTGTAACGTGAAGTGGTAAGCCTTTTCTTTTATTTGAACCTTTAATGATCTGCTTAAAATAATAAAGTGTTTAACTTGTTTGTGTCAGATTGTAACTGTGTGATGATTACTGGTGGTTGGGATCTTTTGGAAGTAATTTTTTTTTCTTTTGGATTTCATGATTTGTTAGTTGCCTGAAATTTGGTGAATGTTTTTATTTTTTTTTCTTTCTCAAGTATTTGGTGCTGTTTCTGCTTGATTCCCGGCGGGGATCGATGTTTTCTTTTTTATCTTATGATGGAATTTGATGCAGAATCTGGAAAACTTGGTTTGAAGATGAACTGTTTGAACTATTTATTCATAACCTCAATCTGCAGTTACATATTCATATTGATTAACTGGGGATTTTCTTGTTACATTTATGGATTTGCTGTCTTTCTTGTAAAACTGGCTCTGTAAGGCTAACAACATCTTAAAAATAGAAAGGAAACATGGTTCAAGAACTAGAAGATATGAAGGGAGGTGGAGGATCAATCAAGGTGGGTATTAGGGGGACAATCAGTTGCCTAATGACAAGAGAACTGGACTCCGTTGAACCGACAACGCAAACGCCGGTGTCTTTCAGACACAAATCTCAGACAATTCCGGCATCGATCGTCTCCGGTTCTTCGACTCCTTAACGACCTAAGCTGAGGAATTCTTTGGATGGAGCAAGTACCAGTGGCAATGGCAGCAACAAGAGTTATAAAAGCTTGTCCAAAGATCCCCATCAGATTCCAATGCTTTGTTTTGATAATATTGCTTTAGATAGAACTCCTAGCAGACAGAAAAGTGAGTAACATTGTTGAAGTTGTGGACATAAAGTGTGGGAAACAACATCCCGGTAGAGCACGGTCGAGCCCCGTGACGAATCGACTCAAGAAGCTCGGGTTCTCTAAGCTTTCCCAGAGCTTTATCTAGACCTGCAACTTCTTAACATCGGATTTCAAGTTCCGGTAACCGAAACCTGGAACCCCAACAGGCCTGCTGTCCGAAATTTCCACCATGGAACACATGCCGAGTATCAGCCTGCTGCTTCCTCTCTTTTTCTTCTTCTGAGTTGCTGCAACTGGCCCAACATTGGAACGAGGCTTCTTCGGGCCATCCTTGCGGCCTAATTCGAGCCGGCTGAAGTGCTCAATCTCTCGCATTATCAAGGATCCGACCGTGCCTCTGCTGCCGATTTCGACAGGAGGGTTTGCAATCGCAGCAACCATCTCAACAGGCACACTTCCGGCACAAGTTTTCGATCTCTGCATGCTCTGTTTGATGGGATTAATGGAGGAGGGTTGTGAATGAAAAGAGTTTGACGTTGCTGTTGTTGCCTTGATAGTGAAATTTCTCCGAGACAGGGCCATGGGGGGTGTTTGGACGAATACTAGCTATCTCCATATGAGTTGTTTGCCTCATGTTGTTTATCTAAAAGTGAAGAGCATTTTGGCTTGTTGGGATGATTTAATGATGCCCCTTCATCATTGTATTCATGTGCTGGCGGTTAAAACATTTGGTCTGAATCTAACTGGTCTGATCCGATCTTAAAAGATTAGATTTTTTATTTGAAAATTTACTTTTGATTGGGTTTCTGAATGATAGGATTGGGTTCTAATATTTGACATGATATGATCAAGAAATAATTATATAATTAAACTTTTTTGTATTTAAAAAAAATATTATAATATCCTTCTATATTTTTAATTATGTCCCTATTTCACCTAATAAAATTGATATATATATATATATATATATATAATTGATAGAGTCTTTTTACCTTTAAAGTTGAATCGAATTTTAGTTCGAATTTAATTTTCTTAAATTCAAATATAGTGGAATGATGACTAATGAAATATTATACTTGGGTCAAATTTAAGTAAGCCAAAAGCTCAACTCATAATCGTTCCAAATAATACTATAAATATATAGAAAATACTCATTTTACCCGGAAACTATGATAGACGATAATTTAACCAAATAAAACGCCTTATGTACGTGTGTTTAATGAGTTGAGCAGCTCTTAAGTAGTTCAAGTGGAATTTGATCAAAACTCAACTAAAACTCGATTCGAGTTGATTCGACTCAAGATCTTAAGTCGAGCAAAGTCCAACTCGACTCGAGAAGTTCGTGAGCAGCTCGTTATTTTTTTTTATAATTTTTAGTAATTATCTTAAAAATTATTTTATTCAAAAAATACTAATTTACTTAATAGATAATAAAAAATGATAAATTACTAATCTATTAATTTTTTAAAAAAATACTAAATTACTCGTTAATAATTATTATTTTACTACATCCAAAAATCAAACCCTAATTATTATTTTAATATATTTGTGGATTGCAATTTTAGAGTTTAGACTTTAAATTTGTTTTATACACTATTTTGATTTTTTTGGCTTAATGCCCAAATAAGTGCCTACATTTTTTGGCTCATCCGGGTGCTTAACGTTATAAACGTTAGCACTTTAGGTGTCTAGTCCGTCAACGACGTTAGTTTTTCATGTTAAGCGACACATGTCACAATCTTATATTACAAAACACCCTAAAAATCCCAAATCCTAACCTTAATATGCCGTCACCACTAGGGGTGTACAAAATTACCCGACTCGGTTGACCCGACCCGCT